AGAAAACATTTATTTAAATTTTTAACAACCTTAAAATATAAAACAATATAAACATTTTGAGAAATAAAAGATTTGAAGATTTATTTGAAAGTGCTCTAAACCCACATAGTGAGCCTCATCAACTCTTGGAGATTATGAGCTTTATTCAGTGTTAAATAAACTCCCCTATAAATAAAGGGTTAAACGTTACATAATTCTTCCGAAATCCTAATCCTATCCTCATTGGCCTCAAATGGTCTCATTGTACATAATATGTTTTATAAATATTGTTAGCTCACATATCTCATATTAATTATAATCCTCTTGTATCGGACATAAATTAATTTGTTTCTAACTTTACTCGAGACATATATTATAAAAAACAAATAGTATACTAATTAAGACTTGATTATTATTATTGTTGGTGATGGTGTAACGTGGATGAAAATTTGAGCAAATAATTAAAAATACTTATTCAGTTCTTAAAATCTAGAAAGTGTTTTTTTTTAAATGTGTTTGTTACAATTCTTGGTATAGAGCTACCAAGAATCACCCCAGAAAACCAACTAGCAGAAAGAGAAAACATAAAGAACAACACCAGAATTTATACTTGGTTCAGAAATTCTTTGTAAAAGAATTTCCTACATCCAAGTTGGCCAGTGAGGGTCAAACGCCCCCTAGCATGCACTAATATTCTCAAGCAAGCACCAATAACACCAGCACCTCAGCTACACGGTTTCACCAGCTCTGCATCAGTCCACGAGCTCACCATCTTGAATCATCTTCAATTTCTTATAACCGTATCTTCCAGAAATAAACCGATTAAAGGATGCGCCTCACCACAAGGAACAAATCTCTCCAAACAACTGAGGTGAGATTCTCAGTATTTCTCACTCAAAAACCCTCTCAAAATGTTCGACAAACCCTAAGTATTCTTTTCTCTCAAAGAACCCAAATGAACCAGAGAGAGGAAAAAACAATCTGAAAGCTTATGCATTAAACAGATTTCGACCACGTATTTTAAAGCCACTCATTTTAGTTTTGTTATCACAGCAGTAAAAACGCAGCGTATTGACTTAGGCTACAGATAACTAACATATAAGAGTAATACTTATTGGGCCTCACTAATAAAACATAAGCTTCAGCCCACAAACAAAATGAACAAACAGATATGGAGCAAATGACATCAGTATATCGATAGCTGCAAGTTTAGGAAATATCCACAACAGTGTTCTACTAAAAATTTAGGATTTGAAATTGTGCTGAACTGATAAAATATATACATGTTTACTAAAACATATATACTATGAAATTTTGGAAGTTTTATCAAACCTTCCTTTTTTAAATATTGATATTTGTTAATAATAAATAATAAATAAATAATTATATTTTTATTTACTTAATACAAATACAAAATAAGGATACCAAAAAAATCAAAATAAAACAAAATAGATTTATCTTTAAAGAAGTGGGATGAAACTAGTCACAAGTTATTAAAATATTAATATCCTTTTAAAAATAATAGGTATTCAAAAATCTCCTAATTAAAGTTTTCATAAAATGCGGTGCCTCTTTTCTTGTGTCTATGAATGCCATGGACCGCACAACTGGTTCTATATCTCTGCCAACTAGATCCTCTAAAAATTTTATTCTCTTCTTTTCTAAGAAATTATGGAAATTATTTATTTTTATTTACTTTGATACGTATCATCATCCGTATAAATAAGTTTTACGCAATTAGTTATATATTAAAAAAATAACTATGACAATAATAATTATTTTGAAAGTCAAACTCTATACTAATGACTTGTCAATAAGACAATAACGACGGATCGAATTATCATATAAAAAATAACAGTCATAAAATCCCAAGTTGAAAGATTAACATGCATGGGAAATAATTATTTCAAACAAGAAACTCATAAAAAATTTACACTGATTAAGTTAACCATGTCCACAAAAACTGACACACTACACTTAGTTTCATAGGGCATATTTGGTAATGTATAAGATTGGTAATGTATGAGGTCTGATAATATAAATTTATAGTACGTTATGATAAACTTATACAACAAAATCTTTTAATACATTAAAATAATATATAATTAAATCAAATCTAGGGAGGTGAGATCAGGCTTGATTATACTATATTGTAAAACATATATTATTCTAGGACGCTTGAACTCATATTTTATGAGGGATATTTAATTTCCAGTAAATTTCTTATGGTTCATTAATTTTTACATTACATGAGAACAAGATATCTGGACAGGAATCATTGTAAAGTGTAAACTGTAAATTGCAAATAAGAAAACTAATGAAGATAAAACTCCAAACCTTAGAGCCCTAGATCTCGGAGATAGATGATCTAGAAGTAGATTTCTTTGGATGTCTGAGATCTAACAATAGATTGAAAAGTTAATAATGAATCTTTTTTCAAGCACAACCAGTCCACAACCGCGCGTAAAGTTTATTTATTCTTTCGCAGCTGAAGAAACATTAAATATATAATGCAAGCAACCAAACCAAATTAAAAACCATATAATAAGATAACATCGTACCACGTTTCATAATGTAATGAGCGGCATTTATTTTAAAGTGATAGTGCAAGATATTGGTGGGCAATACGGGGAGTGAATTTTGGGTACCATCGCTGTAGGTACAATCTTTTCCCATTTAAAAAATAACAAGGGTATAAAGATAAATAAATAAAAAATACAGGATATATATGGTATTAAAAAAAATTTATTTTGAAAAGATGAGGTATTGAATTCAGTACCACCGTTGTATGCAAAAATTTTCCCAATACGGGGTACAGGAAAATATCTTCTGTACTTCCGTAAGTTGTAGTATTGAAGAGTCGACATATCAATTATTATAGATGATTTTTTGAGAAGGATTATATTGATAAACTTTTTTTATAAATTTACAAATTATATTATGTCTGACCAGTAATACTTCACTTAAGAGTATTTTACCAGTAGGACATAATGTAAATTGTACAAATTTATAATTTTTTTTTTATAAATATAACCTTTTTTTTTATCAAACTTTATTTATTTCACTCACCCTTTACAGATAATCTCAATCGAGTCCTAATTTTTCTTATTTTTAATAAAGAAATACATACTCCCGTAATACAAATTTTAACACCGGTTGCAAGAGATTCGTGTCGCCGAATAGACTATAGAGACCCTACCTATGCTTATGATTTTGGAACATATATTTAATTTACATACATCAAGTCATGGTGTCATCTATTCTGCGACAAGACTCTCTCAGCCGAGTCAGCCCCAATTGTATTATCTCTGTCTGGCTTCTTTTGATTGCCCCAAGTGTTAAACGTAGCTCTCAGGATGGTTCAGATCCTCTCAAACAGTTGTAGCATAGGATGATAAGTGCTGCAAAAATTACAAACATTCCAGCTGGACTTTGCTAGAATACAAGAGTGTAGATTCAAAGTTTGAAAAGTTGAATTGAATTACACTATTCTAATAAATAATATGGTGCTTAATTGCTAGGAATATACAAGTTTGAAAAGTAGAATTGAATTTCATTAATAAGATACTTGCTAGGAATATACGTGGGGGAAAATATGTATAGAAAAAAGAGAGAGAAATTTCGACGGAATTACATTGATTGTTTATTAAATATTGATGGTCTTTAATTTGGCATAACAAGAGTCTTGTTATTGCCACTGAAAGTGATTTTTTTTTTTAAAAAAAGAAAAGAAAAGAAAGTGTCATCTTTACCGTAACCAAGATACTGTCTGTCATGAAAATTGAAGACTCAATTATGAATTGTGGAAATTAATTATGATTCGTCCATTGCAATGAGCTTTGACAAAATGTCAATGCATTGTGAAATGCTAGAATTTCATGGAAACTTCTATCTCAATTTTTTTTTTTTTAACTATGGTGCCAATCAATTCAAGTATATTGGTCTCGCATGAATTCAAAAATTGAGTTATCTAAATTTAATGACATTAAATCAATGCTAATTTTTTAATAATAATTTTGACCAATAAATAAAAGTAAAAATGTTTTTTTTAAAGGACAATCATTTTAGTTAAAACTAGTATTTTTATTTATTATTTAAATTAAAAAAGTATTTCACTTTCTTTCCCCATGACTTTTGTTTCTCTCACCATAAAACACAGTAATTTTGATTAAAATGACATAATTTCATGTCCTTTAAAATTATAAACACCAATCTCAATATCCCATAAATAAAATAACAAATTAAGAGATAACATGGGAAAAACTTCACAAGTAGGAAAAAAAATCACGACTCCAATTCAATGTACAAGAATAGAACCTATTTTTTTCCTTATATATAAGAATTCACCAAAACCTATCTCTTGATTTAGTTGCCTCAATTTATTCTTGTAAATTACGTGCCAATTATCAAACCAGTGACAAATGCTATACACTCTGTCAACTTAACTCTAAATGAAAAATATTATAAAATTTCAATTATCATTAGATAGTTACTCCCTATTAATAAAAGACAAATTAATAATTACCTCACACTCCCAACAAAGCATAAATTGACAATTTATTTCAAAGGAACCAAAGATGAATCGATTTAATTTGATCAAGAAAGCAATTCATAAGAATTTTAATAAAATGATCAACCCCTTATATTTGTACAATTTTCATATAAATCAAATTAATTTGAGGAGCGTTATTTTTATAACCTCTTTTCGCTTAAAACCTATTTTTCATCGATGATTTTTGTCAATCCAATTATTATAATTTATTAGGTCACATTTATTAATTAACTATTAATTCCAATAAATTATAACCGTTAGATTGATAAAAATCAACGTTGAAAAAACAGGTCATAAAACTTTTAGGTTGTAAGCATATCACTCTTTGATTAATTTATAAATATTGTACTTCTAAAAAGAATGGAGGTAAAACATAAAAAGTTGCAATAATCTGATTTAGTTTGGTTTTTGTTTTCTTAATTTCATTGCAACATATTTTGTAAAGAGAAAAATGGTATTGAAGCTAAGGGTGATTATCACATAATTCAGCAAAGCATATATGTCTTTTTATTTGGTGCATGAAACTAATAAACCGCATTGAAGAAGTCATATTGTAATATAATGGTAACTTCTTCTTTTTTTTTTGGTTAAAGATGGGGCTTACGCCCAGAGAAAAGCACAAAATACAACTAGGTAGTTTCAGAACGCCTAGCAGCTGATGTGCGGCACCCCTTTCCCGGACCAAATCCTCCTCCATATAGTATGACTCAGTTGGTTCCCAAAGTGCATAATATTCTGGTATGCCAACTTCACCATAGATTCGCCTCCACTGCCTCCACACCACCATAAATTGAAATTCACTCAAGAAGTTCAGTGAACTTTCAATTCCAGTTCTGATAACAGATCAACTCAAAATTTATTTATTTATTTAAATAAATTCAAGTTATGATAACAACTTTAATTAAATTAAAAACATACATATATGTAAGTCAATATGATTGGTCCAGTGGTGAAGGGTTTGAGTAGCCTGCACGAATATATATACAAAATTAAAAAAAAATACATATATGTTAGCAGATCAGCTAGGGTTTAAAAAAACGCCCTAGCAATATATTGCTATTAAGATAGCTATACGTCATTATTTGCTTTTGCTTCTGTTTGCAATAGTAATATTTATTGGCAATCTTTTCGCAATTGCTGCAACAACAACAACAACTGATCATTCATTATTACCCATAGCAAAAACAATTGAAAGCATAGATGAAACACTAATTTGAAAAGTGAATTTTGAACTTGGCATTAGAATCGCAACTAAGAGAAAGAAAGTGCCATAAGAAACCACAATTAAAGATCATCAATACCTCATTGTATCACTAGTTTGAAGTGAATATAAAAGAGAGAAAGCATCAAAATTCTGTGGTTAGAGGCTGAAGGGTATCTTGTCACAGGAGGATGGCGCTGGCTATGGCTATATTCATATCATTCATAAATATTCACATAATATTGATGAATATTTATGATATGAATATATATATATATATATACACCAAAGTTGGTGCCATCACTCCTGCGACAAGACACCCTCAACCCCTGCTTCTCCATCTCTTCCTTTGCTTTCACTAATTGCATGTTTCCTACAAGGCATACACATGTATATATAGACTTCAGTGTAGAGTGAACTATGCCCTATGTTTTTCCCTTTTTTCTTTTTCTTTTTTCATTGTCATAACTTTAACCACATCCATGAATTGCTGCGAAGTTGCGATCAATTTGGAAGTACTTTTGGAAAATAAAAGAATGGTGCAAAGATTCCAAGTTTTGGTGTTTAATTCAACCCCATTATTTCCCTCAAGAAACTTACAAGCAGCTTACACTGATTTTTTATAATGATAATTGAATGAGAAACTTACAAGTAGCTTACACTAATTTAATCCCAACATTTACCCTCAAGTTTTGATGTTTAATTCAAGCCCATCATTTCCATCGAGGTTCTAGGAAGTTCTGAAATGAGACAGCATGCATGTTTTTTGAATGGTCATTTTTCAGTCAATGGAAAATATTGAAAAGATATTTGTGGAATCATTATTTTCCATGCATTCCGTTGGAGAAATATTATGGGCTAATAAAAAGTATACGCTAATTATAAGATCAGAGGTGGTTTTATTATTTTATACGAAAAAAGAGAGGTGGTTTTATTTTTTTTTTATTTTTTTAACAATGACGGGAATTTGACCTGATGACTTAGAAACTATTAAAACATTCATCTTTAGTCATGTGATAATGACTTTTAACATGGTAATTGAAGTTTCTGCTATGACATTATATGGTCTAAATTTTGGTTATAGTCCACTAACAATTAAAATTTCATTAAACCTGACTAGAACATACACAAGATTAAGATGAATGTAACAACGTACATATCATCTATAAACATTTTACTCTTTCCTTATTTCCCTTGATGCTTTATTAATTAGCATATTAATAAAAAATTCATGAAAAAATAGTTGAAATCGAATCATCTTTTTCTTAGTTCAACGAAGATAGAAAAGGAGTTTTATATATATTGACATATTTAATTTGATCATTGATTAGTCTCTTCTTCAAAGTTAATTGTTATTATAGAATTATTTAATATATTGGGTTAGGGCTTTCAGCTGCTAACGACATCACTTAATTAGCAAGAAAGTAATGCGATTGTGACAGAAGGTAAATTTTGTAATTTTGTTTCTCCAACAAATTAAAATTGTACAATCATTATTCTTAAATTAATTATATACTTCCATTCATGTTAATTATTAATTTAGAAAACTTTTTATAAAAGCAACATATGATCGTTGATTGTTCATCATTTATTGTTTTTAGTGATCAAGTGTTATTCATACTAATTTGTAGGCACTTTGACTAATCCAGCACTGAGTTGGTAACAAAAAACAAGTAATTCCCCTTAACCTTAAGAAATTCATGTAAAAGTTTTTTTTACCGTCCGACTTTAAGAAATCAGCAAAACTTTCATAATGCTTGAGTTTAACAATCTCTTAACTTAATTAATGTTTAATATTTAACATTAATATCACAGAAGAAAACTTTTGGTCAGTTCCCTGCCTAATTTTGTACCTATTTGTATATGGTGGGGGTTGGTGGGTTGGCAAATTTGACTGGTCAGCATTCCTTGACCTTGTACTTATATATGATATAGCGATTCTCGAAGTGTATACTTGAACAAAAAAAATTGGAGATCATTCATCCCAATTAATATAAGGGGAGTGTTATGTTTATAAATTTTTTGTTTACAAACTTTTATAAAATATATTATATACTCTGAGAAGTATATTCTCAAATAAGTGTATTTCTCAAAGTACATAATATATTTTATAAGAATTTATAAATAAAAAATTTATAAATATAACTTACCGCTTAATATAATCACGTAAACATGGAAATACATATATTGAACTAAAGAGTAAATTAGTGTAGGATGATTTCTGAGAAAAATAGAGTTAGTTTTAATTCAAAACTCAGTAGTTTACCAAAAAAAAAAAATCAAAGCTTAGTATTCCTTCTTTGGGATGGTTATACCAATTGTATGAAATCTTAGATTTATGCGGAAGCGGTTTAGGACCTAGTACATTGGTATGCTTACCGAATCATCCTTGTTTCACAATTACCTCTCGGTGCGCAGGTCTCGTGTAGAATCTTCCCTTGTAGGATTCCTCTTCACGAACAGCTCACCTCAGCGCCGCAACACGAACAACCTCCTTGAAGCTGGACTATGGCAGATCTTCCAGACTATCTCTCGAGGAGGATGAGATGGTTGTGTGGGCAACCGTTCAGATGATGAACGTCTGCCTCTTGGGGTTTGTTTCTGATGATCTGTTCACCTTGGAGGCACAATAGGAGAAAACTATGAATATATACGCTTAGGTCTTAGACATAACTCAACCCTAAGCCTCATGGGCTCAAGTTTCACTGAAGCCCAATAGGACTTTAGTGACCAAAAGAGCATATATCCAACAATATTTGTAAATTTTTTGTTTACAAACTCTTACAAACTACACTATGTACTCTCAGAAGTACACTATGTACTTCCAGGAGTATATAATGTAATTTGCAAAAATTTGTAAATAAATTTTATAAACAGATCATTCTCTTTCTTTTTAAATAAATTTCAAAGCTATTTGTTTCTGTGCTTATCAACAAGCGGATACTGCTTAACACGTTCGGTAGTTCCTTGATCTCTTTTATTGATAAATGATAAATTTTGGTGTACAAATCTCCCCAACTTTTTCAGCTAGAGGTGAGGGTCCATTATATTCTTTCTCAAAATTATATTAACACAAATGAAAAAGATGAAATAAAAAGGAATACCAAAAACAAATAGATTGGCCTTCGTTTAGCATTGACGATAGGATTTGGAGAAATGTTTGATTAAATCCTCATTTCAATCAACAAAAACTTAGTGGGCTAAGTTGTAAACTTAATTGGGTTATATTAATAAAAGTCTGGTTGTTTTCCACACACACACACAAAAAAGGCTGGTAAATGTCTGAAAAATTGTACAACATGACAGTCCTGTACGATCATTGTTTTGTGTCAACATCTTTGAGAGCGGGCGAGTGGTATACTGAGAAAATCGAAATCTACATGTGTACAGTTGTAAAATATTATAAGAATTCAATACAGAAATATGTTAAAAAAAAATATGGCATAGGATTTGTTCAAGTTGGGCTACATCACACTGATCAATCTAGTCCAATAATAATCTCAGTGGATCTGTTTCGGGATGGATGTTGTCGCGGATACACATGTGGGATGGTTGAGATAGTGTTGGATAATTTTGTTTGGTTAGAGCAAATTAGGGGAGGTATCTCCAAAAGTGGCGGATTCAGAAAAAAAAAAATTATGTGTGCACACTTAAGGTGGGGGTCGCTGCCCCCGAAGATTTTTTCTAAAGAAAATTTTAAATATATTAATTGTAGGGGATTAATTGATCAAAAATCAACCTCTATCGATGTCTATTTGATCCAAAGTTGACCACTTTTGTAACACCCCGTATATATCCGGTAATGTTATCATACTATCGTATTAAGCAGCGCTTAATTTAAAATGCGGAATATCTTTTTCTTTTCAATTATGTTGTCATTATCATTACCAACTTGCTTATTAATCAATTAATAAAATATCGCCTGTATGTAATTACAATAAAACAGCTAACTGAAATACCTCGTACTCATAGATAATAAAAGTGTGGCTCTAGTCACGGAACTGCAACAACATAGACCAGACCATCTAACAGTTTATACAACTCCAAATCAAAAGCACTAACATAAAGTGTCATGGACAATCCTCATGCTCACTCAAATACGGCAACACGCCCAGCATCAGTCTCAACAACAACATAAGCATAAATAGCGGAAAACATAAACAGCATCCACATCTAGTCATGGCAGCAAACAGCATAATAACATCAACTAAGCTCTGGCCTCCTGCCGCCAGAGGCATCAGTCACCAAACTACCGGAACCTGAAATAAGCATTCCCCAAACGTGGGGTGAGATCTCTAAACAAGAAATCTTAGTAAGACAAGGGGTCCTCAAGGATCTTCCACCCCAAGCTCACTTACATGTGCAATATAAGTTCAAAAGCAGTTTATCATCATCAGTTCTAAAATAGTGCAATGCAGCAGATAATCATGTCATGTGTGTCAATTCTATTCTACTGGCCAGAGAAATGCAGGATTTACATACGCTAAATACCCACACTAGTGCAAGACGCTACTTGCATTCACCCCGGATCACCATATCATACGACGCTACATACTCAGGCTTACAGTCAAGATGAAACAGCACATGCATATTAAAAGCCATTACACATAAAGCTCAACAGCATTTAAAATATTCAAAGCATGTAACACAGCATGCATACAACCACACCCCCATGGGACATGGTGGAACCACAACATGGCTAAACCGAGGACACGAAAGCTTACCTTGCAAGCTAACTCCCAAAGCCAAGAGTCCACAGCTCAAAGTCCGAACACAGCAGATTAACAATCTGTTATGGACCAATACTATATCAATAATAATGCAACACAAGCATATAACTTAAAGACAACGCCTTTCCTTACGTTTTACGTCTTAAGGCTCCATACCAAGCCATAAGTCCTTAATCACAACGATTCTGACTTAGTTCATTAATTACATAAGTTCAACTTCATCAAACTAGGGTCCACAAACCCCCAATAGCCTACTGTACACACAACACAGCTACTGTTCCACGAAATCCCAGAATATCCGGATATTCCTCTGGACCATATCCGGATATCTCACTGGACATATCCGGATATGCAATATCCGGATATCCCGAATCCCATATCCGGATATCCACTATCCGGATACTCAAAACCCATATCCGGATATCACATATCCGGATATTCATCGGGCACATATCCGGATATTTCA